GTTAAGTGAGTACATAAGCTTAATGGGCCTAAAGCCCATTTTGAACTGGGCTATTTAATTAGTTAATTATGGGGCGAATTATGAGATGGATTAGCAGATAGGATAGGGTCAAGCCCTATCCACTCAGAGAGTCCAGATCTGAATCACATTCAGATCTAGAAACCTCCTAATAAGATTAGGAGAACGCTAATCTAGTATGCAGATAAGATAAGGGTTTATCCCTATCACCTAAAGAGAGGGCTGATCCAAATATGATTTGGATAAACAACTCCTAATTGGATTAGGAGCTAATCTTTTAGGTTAACAAAAGAAGCAGGGGGCGGGAGCTTTTAGAAGAATGAGATATTCACGCCCTCTTGAGTGCTGAAATCACAGAAGGAAGAATTAAGCATCCCTGCAGAATTCTTTCTTGCTGCCTTTCTATTCTTGTCGCCCCTGTTTTGCCAGTTTGATCTCCAATTGTGGGAGAAGTCAAGATTTGATCTTGACATCAGTTCTTGGAGGAAGAATTGATAGGAAGCTGTGCTCACGTGCCATCCTGCTATTTCTTGTGAATGACAGAGTTCTTGGAGAAGAACACTGTTGATTCTGCTCTATCTTGCACTGTGCCATGTTCAGTGGGAGCAGTCTTTGGATCCTTCCTTGGGCGTGAACACCTTTGTTGGGGGATATTGTTTCTCTGTATCAGGTATAATCCTCCCTTACTCATTTTGGTTCAGATCTGGTTCAGTTTATGGTTTACGATTGATCATTGAAAATATGATTTTTTAAATAGGGAATGCGATTCCCCGTTGAAGGGAGAGAAAAATTTTTGAAATTCGCCCCCTTATTCTGCAAGTTTTGGGCGTCCATACGATGGATCTTTCATCTCTTCACTAATTCCATCTTGACAAGTTGCAATTAAAACCAAGATATTAGGTCAGGCAGTATTCAATATGTATGTTTAAAGTTGCATCAAGTATACTGGAGAATATGGGTGTGGTAAACATGAAAATTAAATATTAACAAGTAGAAAATGGAACTATTAATTGGTAACTACCATTCTAAGTTGGAATCCTCTTATTTTATACTACATTATACAAAGACATATTTTCTAGAATTCCCAATTTTGCTTTTTCCATGAATAGCATGCCTTCAACCTACATCTACACACTTGTTATGAGAAGTTTTGATGAGGCTTTTAATAGATATGAGTAGTAAACCTAATTTATTTTTTTCCTGAAATTTCTTTTCCAGTCTTTGTATCAATCTCATAAGCAAAATTTAGTATCAATCCTATAAGTAAGATTTAAGAGCTTAGATTAAAAGTAATTGCCTTGATCACAGCTGTCAGATCAGTCATCTAGACATCCACTAGAATCACCATTACAGGTTTGCACATTATCTTGTTTTTACTTTTAGTACTATTACGGTATTACCCCTGTATAATGGTGGGCGCACTAGCACGACCCAATTATTTTACGCAAGGAGACTCTGCAAACTTTACCAAATTCTATAAGTAGCTGTCCGGTGTATTTTAATTAATAATCCAAATATACATTCACTGTAAATTTCAAGGTAGATCTCAATGTTGTTGAGTTGAGCTCTTCTTTATAAGAATGCTGTACTCCCAAGGGTCATAGGATCTGGAGTTGTGGATGGTATAGGGATTATTTTCTTTATCCTTCAACATGATTCTCTCATTGTTTTGTGATTTTATTTTGCTAATCCACAACAAATGAGGATATGAGAGGATTCTGAAGTTAACATCATGTTTGCTCTAAATTATAGAACATTTTGCCAAGTTGATTCTGGATTCCTTGGTAAAGCTGGTTACAACAACTAAGATAAAGGTAATGTTCCCTTTTTTTTAATCTGAATATTCTAGTCTTGGCTTTCTGTACATCTTTGACGTCTTGGTTTCACTTCATGACTGCAGGCTATTTGTAATTTAGCAGTTTGGTGTATTTCAATTCAACAGATTAGTGCATCATTTCTAACTCCTCACTTTCAATCTTTGTTACGTGCAATCGTTCATGCTCTTGACAATCCCATGGGTTCTCTATCAGTAACATTTGAGGCAATCCAGGTACTATTGTTTGATCAATCTTTGCTTTTTTGTGTATTTATTCAAGCTTATAAATTGGCCATACCATTTCTTTTTTAGTAAGTTCAATTTGGAGTTTCTTAGAGCCACTACAGTGGTTTATGATAACTATGGTAACTGTGTTTCATGGGATTTCAGGACTTATACCTGACTCAACATAAAGATTGTATCATGTAAAGAGGATCCACAACATGAAAGATGAGGGATTAAATATCAGTCCCAAAACTTGGAATGGACATAAAAGACCCTATTTGAGATCCCCAATCAGAGCTTTGACTCCTGGTACCTACAGATGACCTTCATAAGCCTTAATCCCACCTTTATATAACTGGATTCTCAAGTTAACTGTTAGCATCAAGAATGTTTTGTCTATCAGCAACAGTGAATCTGAGTTTTTAATCTCTCCAAATCATTAGTAATCTGCTTCTCTAGAATCTAGAACAAATAAACATGGTCCCTTCTAGTAGACGATGTAAATTATACAGTTGGGATTCTCCACCTACAGCTTCCTCTTTTATTTTACCCAAAAATAAAATCTATACTATGCTTGGACATAAGTACATAACTAACTCTTAATGCAGCCAAGGTGAAGGTAAAACAATCCAATGTTTGAATTGTCATTATCATCAGGAAAGCAAGAAAAAGAAATTTTCCAAAACAAATCTACAATAGTAATATTCTTTTCGAGGATAAACCAAGAACTAGTATATTGACAATTGCATGAGCAGAGCATAATTTAGTAGAACTAGTAATAGATGAGGATACAAAGAGAGAATAAGAGAGAGAAGAAGAGAAGAGAAAGAAGGAGAAACACTTTTGAATGAGAATAGAATGGGGTCTATTGTGTCTAATGCCCATTCTTATTTTATTAATATGGGAGTTACACATAACAATAGGTAAAAGAACATAACTGTTCTTGATATTACAATATTGTAAAAACACATACAACAACTGACCTGACTAAGTTGGAACATAATTTTATCTGTATGAATAAACTGTTCATGGATATGTTTCTAGCTATATTCCTGCCAGGCTCGTTTGGTCAATTTTCTGCCAAGCTCAACCTCTCTCTCTCTCTTGTGTGTGTGTGTGTGTTTACAAGCCCACTGAAGCTCAAAATTATAAAAAAAAAAAAAAGAGATGTAGGACCTGCAGTCTGAGGACCAAGACCAACATTCTTTAAAGTAAAAGTAACTTAGCAATAAGTTACATTATCTATATTTGTTGTATATTTAAATTCTAGTATCAAGATGAGCTTAAGAACAGCAGAACCCACCTAAAGTAGGCCTAGGATCATATGGCTAAATGAGACTCAACTCCAAAGCTAAAGTTGATCTCTGGCTCAGCTTAACAAGATATGCTAATTTATTCATCGACAGCCCTATTCCTTTTCCTTGGCACAGTTACAAGTGTCAGAGACTATGAGGTACAACCACGAGGTAAGCATCTTAGTGTGTGTGTGGGGGGGGGGTGTCAGTGTAGAAGTCATGTATCTTATCATTTAAACCATAGATCTCGTATCTTTTATCCATTGAGCATGGTTTCTGCATTGCTAACATTCTTAAAAGTTTAACACGAGTTCTTGTGTGCAACTTTTTGTATTTCTTGACAGGGGGAATGCTAGTGCTACAAATGGTGTGAACAACACATAATGGATATTCTCTGTAGCCCAGTGTTTAAAAAAAAAATTACATATCAAGTTGGACTTCGTGGTGCTCTCCACTGATCCTCTGGTGTTACTATTGTAGGCCTTGATGAAATTGGCAACTCAACTAAGTGAAATGTTGAGAGATTCTTCAAATATATGGGCTCCTCCAATTTGTAGGAGACTTATTAGCAATGATAAGAGGGAAAGGGAAATGTCAGAAAGATGTCTTTTGAAGATTAGCTCTATGATAAGTCCTCCCCCCTCCAGCCTTTCTAAGGTACTCCATGTTCTTGAGTTTTTAATTTTTATTATTTTCAATAAAAATTTATTAGAAGTATTAATAGATAACAAATCTTATAAAGTCTCAGGCTTGATCTTGATTTATTTCTTTAGGATATTTTTTTTGGACATGGAGTGGCCAAACCACAGAATCATGAACCTGCTTTAGTGAACACTCCTATGGTGCTTTAATTCCTTTTTATCCTTTTTCATTTTTGTAAAATATGTTTAATCTGAATATTGAATACCTGGTACTATTCATCATACACACACACACACAAACACACCTGGTACTCCTTTGATTAATTTCTAAATATACCTTGTCCTTGAACTATTGTCATCTCTACCAATGTAAATTTCTACATCTGTACTTGCACATTATTTCCTCTGAACTTCTAAATATGTGTTCCAGATAGGGATGCAAATCGGATCTGATAGGACTCGATCAGGGTATATTCGAATCCGATATGACACTGTTCATGTCGGATCCGATCCGATCTGAAGATCCAATCGGATCTGATAGGACTCGATCTGAATTATCGGATCTTCAGATCTGATTTGATCTGACTTGTTTTCTTTAAAAATTAATAAATTATTAAAAGAAAAATGTACCAATTTAAATAAAGAAAAACAAAGATACAAGTATTTTTTTAATTATTTTCATCATACATGTTTTTTATAAAAAGTAACATAATAAATTTATAAAAAAACAATATAAATAATGTATTTATAAATAAATAAACAACATATATATTTATATTTATAAATATATAACACATCGGAATGGATCTTCTCGGATCGAATAGGGGTGATCCGAATTCGACCAAATAGGATCAGATCGGGTCATAAAAATCCATCTAATTACTCCCAACTGATATAACACAAAGTACATTAATGAGTTTAAGATTTATTATTCTTTCATTATGTGGCAATTTTCCAAAGCCAGAAATTGCAACTCAAGTTTGTATTTGATGTTGAATGGATGATGATGCCAAGTTTGGATTTGCAAGGGAACATGTCAAGTTTTGTTTTGTAAAAGAGAGCCAACTGCAAAGCATAAAATCTTCATTATGGGTCACTTTTATGCAATTCATATGTTACATCAAGCTAGTGTATCAAGATCACAATGTGCACTGTGAGTAATCAATTTTGTTTTTCCTACATTTTGAGAGGATTCTGATGCAATGGAAGCACAAACATTGCTTCCGAAGCTTGGCTAATATGAAGTAGATTGATTTCAGCATGATCTTTACACATGGCTCCTTTTGGAGGATGACCCGGTTCTAACTTGGCAATTAGTTTGGGTGCATAGAAGATGCCCCTTGGGTAGTTGGCTTTGAACTTCCAATGTCTAATTAGTAATTGCAATCTGTGAACTAGTCAGCCACTCAGCCCATGTATAGCAAGAAGCCAATGTTGTTGCCAATATGCTTGGTCACTATGGTGTTGGAAACAATTAATCTTTAGCAGTTTAATGGGTTGGTTGGGTGTCTTGATCAATGACATGGAAGGTTATGATCCTTAGAGGAAATCTCAGGACATTTGGCTAAACCATGTTTATTACTTTAGAGTAAATGGTTGACAGGGATCATCCACATCCACATGACATCCATCTTAGCCACCAGATTTTTCACTATGATGTAATAATGTAAATTGGCAATAACTTACACTTCAGTATGGTTTCTTGTTAGATCTGCATATCTGCAGTCCACTAATACACTTTTAATTTTTTTTCCTTGCAAGACTATCATGTGCTTTTTGAGTTTCTAAACCACTTTCATATTCCTTGAACAGGTACTTGTTGTAGACATCAAGCAAAGGTTGCTTCCTGGAATGAAGGAAGGGCTACAAAACCATGGAATGAAGGTTCCTGTTATCCAAGCCTGGGGGTGGATTATCCGTTTACTTGGACCTTATGCCACAAGGAATAGGCATATGGTTAATGAAATGCTGAAAATTCCCGAACAAACATTTTCTGATCCTGATACACAAGTCCAGATTGCATCGCTGGTACTGCATGTCCTTTAATAATCTATTTACTGAAATTTTTAATGTGCATAAATTCCATTCTGTTAGTGTATGCCCTCAGCTCCATTAAACTGATGTATACCGACATTTATTGTTGAATAAAATCAGTGCATTATTATTTCATTTATGTTATGGTTTGTTTGTTTCTGTGAATTACCTCTTAGCCATACATTTATGAGACTTATGTAAGCTAAAATGTTCAGTCGAATGATGAATATGGGGAGTTTATCATATAAAGGATGGCACTTCTATACTGCCAAATGGGTGGAGTAGTTTGTCTCAACTGCTCGGGTTAGATCTAAGGCACAGTGAGTGGGTGTTTAAGAAAACACTGAACTGGACCATTTCCACTTTAACCTTGGACCTTGGAAACAGGGGTAAAATTGGAAAGTTGCAATTAATCCCATGATATTGCACTAAATGTTTGATTGGAGTCAAATATGTGGGCATGTTGGAGAAGACTGGGAAGGCACTTGACTGAGTGATCGTTGTGATAGGATTAACAATTTTGTTGAACAAAGAGAATATCCTGGTATACATTCTTTCTGATGGAAACCTAAAGCTGTTGGCAGTGGATTTCAATTTGGTTTTGAAATCAATTTTGCAAAATGTACTTATATTTAAAAATAGTTTATTTTGATAAAAGGTTTACGAAATGATTTTAATCTTTGGATCCATCCGAGTAGAGGATGTTACACTAAATTTTGTAGTTAGGGAAGAAGTCCTTCCCTGTCAATAGTGTTTGGATATTATTGGTTGAGAGATTAGCTAAAAATGTCTTCTTGGGCCAATAACTTGATGGACATTTCTCAATAGGTCTATTCATGAAACCAATCAAACTGACCAACCCGTCCCAACTTGACCCAAGTTGGTAAGTTTTCAATTATTTTCGATCGATTTTGGTTCATGTATTATGTTAACTTGAGAGGACGGGTTGGTTTGAGTTTGGTCGTGTGTAAACTGACCAAAACCGACCCAACTCTATAGGGAAGTGGGGAAACACTTTCTACAATTGTATACAGCAAATGGTTTTCATAATACCATTTAATATTTGATTTTTACTTGGTGAAAGCCTTACTTTCTTCACATTGAACCATTCAATATATGATTATGATTTTTATTTGTTGAAAACATAGTGAAAACTATTTCTGGGCTGTCTTTTGAACCGATTAACCAAACAAATCCTTTATAGTAGGGTTGGTTTTCACTAAGTGGTAGGTCAGTTTCAGGTGGCCAATTTCCCAACCCGACCAAGCCAGTTTGGTTGGCCAAACAGCCTGCAACTGAACTGAACCGACCCATGAACACCCCTTTAAACCATTGGACTTAGGCTCATGGGATGGCTGAAACCCAAGTCAAAGTTACATCGCTTGTTGGGCTGAATTTGGGCTCACTAAGTATGACCTAGTGAATTTGGCCCATGCATGTAAGTGTATGGACTGAACCTATTTGGTTTAGATTGAGATGATCTATGTGGGTCCCATACCATACAAAAATAAGGTTCAGTGGCTGGTCAAAGTTATGAGAGAATTAGGGTTACTTAAGAGGCAAGTTTGTTTCAAACTTCATAGTTTGACTAGGTAGTTAGTTTGTTGGAAATTTAAGTTGAAGTAGAAAACTAACTAGATCTCCTTTATCCTAGGTTGGGATTGTTTCCTTATTTGTAGCTTTCCTATTCAGCTAGGAGAATGATTAGGAAACTCCTACTTGGAATCTAAGAGTCCAAACTATAAAAGTTATAGAAGAGGGAGACTAGGTTAAGCAATCAAGACAAATCTTGCCAATTGCAACCCTAATTCAACCTAATGGAAAAGGAGCACCTTTCTTCTTCTCCCACCTCAGTCTTACAGAAAAACAAGACTCTTTTGAGTGAAAAAGACAACACACCATTGCTCGATTCAATCAAGCTTGGAGGGTTTAAAGCTATCAACACCGATTCTATTGGGCTTTGCCATCTTCAGCTTGGAGACAATTTTTGCCTTGTTCTTTGGGTGTGTTAACCACCTAGGGAGCTGCACTTGTGGATTCTGTATCAGGTAACATTCTACCAAAGTGTTGGAAATCAATTTGGTATGCTAATTCTAAATTGATCCTCAGAGAAATCTTGTTTCTCATGAGATGTTCGATCTCTCTTAGGGCTGAATTCAAGAATTTTTGAAATTCACAAATTCCACTTTCAAGGTTTGACCTTTATGGCTTTTCTTCAGCCAATTATTCACATTCAATCAAGTGTTGCATGGACTGTTCTAAGTGGATGGAGTGTCCATATCAGATATGTGTTAGATTCCAATACTCCATGGATTCTCGAGGGACATTTCTATGTTATAACCTTTTCTTTTATCTACATGCTTATTTGACATAAGTGCTGGTTAATGCACAGAATAAATGCCATTTTTTTCTATAGGTATATAGTATTAGAATTTGAAAAGAAAATAAGGACTATTTGAATAGTTTATACTTTTCTATCGACATGTCCACTGATAAAAAAAGGCAGCTAGTGCACGAGGCTCCTGCCAATGCGGGGTTTGGGGAGTGACAGATGTACGCACCCTTACCCCTGCACATACAGAGAGGCTGTTTCCAAGATTTGAACCCTGCACATACAGTCCTTGCAGCACTGGTATAGGCCCCGTTTGGCATGTCTTTTCATGCGGGTTGTTGGTTTTTTAGAAGCCTGGCAGCTCGCATTTTGGTCTTTTCCCATTTGGTTAGGAAAAGATCTAGTTGCCGAAAGTCGCAGCCCCGAAAAGACGCGGGAAGCCCATTTCGGGCTATTTTCGGGAAGCTCCAAATGGAGCTTTTCGCCTTTTTTTTCAACTCATCTTCGCGCGGAAAAACGCATGGACAGACGTGAACCAAACGGTCTTCAAGCTGTTAAGATCTTGATGCAAAAGGTCACATCGTCTTTTTTCAGGGTTTGGGGACTTATTGCTGTTTCATCATCTATGAGACGATAGTTTGTTGAGACTTGGTCCCCTCCAACAGAGGGTTGGAAGAAGCTAAATTTTGATGGGAGTTGTGTGGGTAACCTGGGCCCTTCAGGTAGTAGGGGGGCCATTAGAGACGAAAATGGTTCCATCATTGCCCTTTACTCCGGTCCTGTGGAGGCAGGTGATGTGACAAGGGCAGAGTTTCTAGCTGCAGTATATGGGGTTGAGAAGGCTAAAGAGTTGGGGATCAATAGACTGATCATCAAGGGAGATTCAAAAACTGTGATAAAATGGTTGCAGAAAGGGGAAGGGGTGACATGGCAGTTGAAGAATGAATTCAGAAGATTTAAATGGATGTCAAGGAACTTGTCAATTCAGGTGAGATGGGTAAGGAGATCTACCAACAGTTTGGCAGATAGCTTAGCAAAGCAAGGGGTTCACAGAACAAATATATTTTGGGCACACTTGTAATTCTGTACTGGGTCAGCTTACTATGCTGATTTCTTTTGTATCTTATTGTTGTATCCTAAAGTATTTTAATCAATAAAAGTTTCAAAGTTATTGATAAAAAAAAAGAGATTCCAGAAGATATTTCAAAAAAGACTTGCCAAACGGCCCCTTGGTCTTGATATTATCCCAACAATAACTTGTTCTATATCTATTTCTTCTCTAGAATTAATGAAAATGGAAATTCTTTGTTAAGGATGTTCAGACATCCAACTCCCTTTTGTGCTATCATATGTTCTAGTGGTACAGGTGCAAACCTTAAACCATCATTCTTATTGCATGCTTTGGAGACTGGTGTTTGGAGAAACTCCTAAACTAAAAGTTAACATGGTCAAGCAATCCTATTTTCCTCTAATATGTTGCAATCTTTTAGGTAACTAGAATAAATATGGGTGGCTTTCTGCAAAGAGCCATGAATTGGATGGTGTTAGGATCATCTAATAGCTTTTGATTTCAATTTAGGAGACATTCTAAGTGGTCCACTTTGAATGATGTGCTGATACCTTTTCATGTGCTATACTAGCTGATCACTGTATCATAAGAGAGACTATTGGTTCAGGAAACCAAAAATAGCTAAACTTGAAGAAAAATATGCAATTCCAAATTTCAGATTATTCTTCAAAATTTGGTGGAAATTCTAATTATTTTATTGAAAAATATGCAAAATACATATAATTTGACATAAAGTTATTGAAATTTTGATACATCATGATTATGAAACTAGAATTTACTCAAAATTGAAATAACATCTTGAAATTTTCTAATTGAAAGTTGGAAATCTTGATCATATCACATCATGTTTAATGTCTTGCGTCTGTATCTTTCTCCTCAAATAAAATGCTTATTTAGCTTCAAATATGCAGGTTGCCTGGGAAGGTTTGGTTGGTGCTCTTATTCAAACTCCAAAACAACCTTCAGGGACAAATACAACCCTAGAGCAAAGGATGCAGCAAACTGAAATGGTACAAACTGATGTATCTAAAGGCCATTCTAGTGAAAACCAAGCAAATGCCCTTTTGAAAAGTGTAAAGCTCATAATGACACCCTTGGTAGGAATAATGTCTAGTAAATGTGACACATCTGTTCATTCATCCTGCCTGAACACATGGTTCTATCTGCTACACAAACTTAGCGTTTCAGTTAATTGTCTTCCTGTATTGAAAACTGTCTTGGAGCCTATCCTTGAAGTTGTCTTTAGAGTGGGACCTAACAGTAAGAGCATCTGGATATATAACTCCTGCCTTGATTTGCTTGATGAGTGCATTTCAGCAAAAAGTAGGGAGGTGGATTGTGACTTGGAAAATCAGGTAGGTAATCATTTACCGAGTAAAGTCACTTCATTTGGAACTCTTTCTGGTGGTAAGCTGCTATGCAAGAACTATGTAATTAAATGGTTGCCTTGGGATCTTAGTATGTTGGATTTCCATCTAAAAATGATTCATATAATCATCAGTCAAGGGTCAATGGAAACTGCAAACCCTGAAAATGCAAGTTTTGCCTGCAGTGCTGCCATGAGGATCTTCAGATCTGTTTTGAAGGAAGTCCAAATCAAGATGAGAGGATCATCGATTAATTATAATGATATTATGTTGTGTTTAAACAAAATCTTAGTGTTCACAAAGAGGATCTCTGAAGAGCTAATTTCTAAAGAGTTTGGCACTAATGACTTGCTACAGACTTCCCTCCATTTTATGGAGGCTGTCAGAGAGGAGGTAGAACCTCTGCTACTGACATCCCCTCTTTATAGGGTTGCTTTGGACATTGATTACATTAATGGCTTGCAATCGATTAGTGATATCAAGTATACAAATATAAAGGGGATCAAGGCTGTTGCTTTTATGGATATGGTTTCACCAATGGTTTATTTAACTACCCTCTATTTCTCTGTGGTGGCTCAATCAATTTCCACTGTATCCAAATTGGAGATTATTCTACATGAGATGCAAAAGCTTTTAAATTTTCTATTGTCTTCATGTTATCCTCTGGAGAATCTACATGCTATTATTAGTTTATTGTATAAGCACAGGGGATCAGGCTGGTTAAAGATATGGCTTGTGATTGCAGAAGGTCTCAAAGAGCACCTTGTTACTTCAAAAGATCTTTCAGTATTGAAAACTGAGTCAGATGGTCCTGGTTATGTTGTGATCTGTTGGTTTTTGTGCTACCCTTTTGTTGTATGCTCTTGGCCTCAGAAGCAATCCTCCTTATCCCCAATAAAGAATAGTGGTTCCTCGGAGTTGTGCTTACAGTCAACAAACACAACAATTGAGCTTGAACGCGTTATTGAAATGTGGAGGTCACTTTATGGTTGTATCAATTGTTCCTCATATTCTGAGTGTTCCACAATGAGTGGTTTTACTGAGGAGATGTCTGCTACACTGCTTGAAGTCTTTAATGAAAGTATCAGCATGCTTGAGGTTTACACTAAGCTATGCCCGAAGGACAAGAATCAGATCCTCCTCTCTCTTTTTGGTGAAGTCACAATATATGTCTTGGAACAAATCCTGGTATTGGATGCTGTAGCTTTAAAATCAAGAGTAAGCAACAGTGAAGAAGATGGTGAGTATGATCAACCCAGCAACATCAAGAACAGCATGGAGTTCATTGCTAGGTTAGTGCTAATTTTTTTTGAGCAAGAAAGTTTCAATCACGTGCCTCTGCATACTCACTTTCAGTAAGTTGAAATTCAGCAAATATTCAGAAAAAAAAAAAAAAGATTTTACCCTGCAAAAGAAGGATCTGTTCAAGTAATGCAGGTTGTATCTGCAATCACTTTAAATATAAATATTGAAAGTTCACATGTTCTATTAAAAAGATGAAAGTGGATCACTAGTTCATTGAGAAGATAGGGATAGATTGCTTAAGGAAGTTTATTAGTGTCCTTAAAGTTTGAAAAATCCATATATCTGTAGTTTCAAGGATTTCTGCATAGTTGTGGCTCTAACCTTGGGACTTGGCTGAGTTTGAAATATCCATATATCTGATGTATATTCATCATTTTCTGTCACATACATTTCATTAGGAGCTTTCATCTTGTAATAGCCCTGGCTTAGCATTCATGTTTGGAGTTTTGCAGATTCCTGAAAGTGTCACATAGTGTGCAAGCAGTTGTGCCAGCTGAAAATGCTGTCATTTCAAGGCAAGCCACTAAACCTATGTATTTTTGTTTATCATATAGGTTTTTCTAGCATAGCCTTGGTGCAACTTATCTCCCTTGATTGTGAATTTCAGGCTGTTTTCTGCTTTAGCTTGCTTCTTGCGCCGTCTTCACTTGAAGAAAGATATACTTTTATTCATGGAGGTTTGTATTTCTCATTCTCTAAAAGAGATGCAACACAGGACATTATAGTATATACAGATTAGGCAAGAGATAATCTTCAAGCAATCTCTATAGACTCTTATGTCACTTTCCTGGAGTCTCCTAGGCCAAAATGGAACTGATTCCAAATATGTTTTGTTTGTTTGGATGCATATGATAGTTTGGTTGACCCATAGTCATTAGCTTTCTTGGGAGGATTATCTATTCTTGTCCAACTTTCATAGTAGATCTCCAGATGGGTCTCTGCCACTGCAAGTGCACCATGCATGGTGCCGTAGGTCAAAGAATTTGAAACCATCCTTAAGTTTATTGTATCCAGAAAATTGGATCTTAGATTTTCTTTTTGTGAAGTTCTAACCATTCAAGCTCATAATATTGGAGTTTCAACTTTTTGCAGGTAATCACTGCACCGATGGTTCAATGGCTCTCTTATGGGCAAATAAAGCAAGGAAGCATGATGGCCCAACTTCAACTCCTTTGGACAGAGACTCTTAATGGCTTGCAGAGAACATGGCCGCCTATCATCTTTGATTCCTCCTTTCTCAAAGTCCAGGCACCTCTTCTAGAAAAGACTCTGGATCACCACAGTTCCACCATTTCGGACCCCACGATTGTCTTCTGGAATTCTACATATGGTAATCAGGTTAAATTAGATTACCCTCAAAGCTTACTTCCAGTCCTGGACAAACTGTCAAGAAATGGCAAGATAAGCATCCACAGGAGAAACCCCCGAATGCTAGTGAATGGCCATTCTGGAGTAGAATTGATTGATGCTAGGCAGAGATATAAGGTGGCGTCAACACAGAAGAGGTCAAAAAGAGTAGAGTTCATTGAGACCACTGAAAACGATTTTGACTGTACTGATAAGCCAACCCCAGGTTTGAAAAGGAAAACGGTAGAGCTAACTGAACATCAGAAAGAAGTCAGAAGAGCACAGCAAGGAAGAGAGAGGAATTGCAATGGGCATGGTCCTGGGATCAGGACCTACACAAGTGTTGACTTTTCTCAAGGGAATGAAGATTCACAAGAAAGCCAGGAGCTCCGAAATCCAGAGTCCATTTTGGAGATGTTGAGAAGAACAGGTTAAGTTATTCTTTTGAAGGATTCATGAATGAAGCCCAAAATTTCAACTTTCAACTAGTCATATTCCTGAAAATTGTATATTTACCATGTATCATATGTACTTGCATTATTTTAACTTTATTTATACACTACATAAACTATCAATCATTGGAAACTTAAGTCATGTCAACCACCATTAGTCCTAACTTTGTTGTCCAATTGATCAAGCATCTCTTGATAACCAGTGGTCCAGTTTTCCAAACACAAGAACAATGGATTTTGCAAACTAGAAATGAGCTGAGTCTTCCTTTGCATTAGAATTTTGATTCAATTGACTAGTGACTGCTTATTTCCAGTTATGGAATCAACAATGCATGGTGAACTTCACTTGGTTATGATAATCCAACCATTTAAGTAATCAACTACCATATCACCCTAATATGAAAAACCTGAGAAGGCAGCCGGAACTAGCCCTTGCAATGGTTTCGGTGCCACTTAACTAGGAAAACCAATTTCCATGGATAGAAATTAGAAAATATAGATACAGAAAAGATATATGGGATGCATAAAGATGGAAGTATCAGTGATCGTGGGCTGAATGGGGGCATAAGGGTCATAATAGTAGAGACTAGAGAGCTTATATTAACCCAATTCATAAGGGTTCCAGTAGTATTGGTACCCTAATTTTAGTATGTAGTACAAAAGAAAACGAATTAAAATGGTTTAATTTTTAAAACCAGTTCTGAATAACACAGAGAAACAGAAAGGAACTTTTTGAAATGAAAAAAAAAAAAAACAAAAATATTTAAACACAAAACTAATAGAATCATAATATCCCTTGAGAACACGATGTAAGGGAAGGAGAGAGAGCAAGAACTCCAGTCATTCGGAATCATATATCCAGATACTTGAAAGAATATATATGATCAATATTAAAAATTATTGTTTATATAATTAGACTGATGCAGAAAAAAAGGAAAAAAAAACGGATTGAAGTGATTTGTCTTTAGCTTTTGGATTTCAAAACAATTGCTTGGTTTCATAGTAGAACATGAACTTTCAGTTTCAGTTTCAAGCATGAGAACATGGGTTCCAGTCTGAGTGGCCATTTTATGCTAAAATGCCAAATATTAGGTTTAATTTGTACCCAATTCACCCTCTCAAATACCTTAGCTAGCTGGGATCAACAGTGGTAATGGCCTTCTATTGATACAAGATATTCATAAAAGAATAATGATTGTATAGGGTCTTAGAAACACTCACACTGCATGTATCTTGTTTGCCAAATTCATATTGGCTTTAATAATTGTGGGACCGATAACCTTGATTTAATTTTGTTTTATTTCAATCTAAACAAACTTAATATGGGGAGCTCTCATTGTGGGAACCTTCCACCACTTAATTATTTAATGAAACTACAGAGCACTTAGTTTTGTTTGGATAAGCTTTATCACAAAACCCTAAATTTAGGTTTTGTGCTTTGGGTATTAAAAGTGTTTTGGCTTTAAATTGTTGTATATTTAAGAGCAATTCTTAACCAAATGCTGAAAACAATTTTTGTCTCATGCAATATTCAAAATATCGCAACATATCGGCCACTAAAGTGCTGTTTATTTATTGAGAGTTAGGGCCTTTTAACCTATTGAAATGTTAATCTCAAATAGAATTGTTAATTTGTAAATATAACAAATTGAAAAAAAAAAGAGTATGATATGTTTGAAACGCCAGTTTATTGATGATATCGAACCTTGGGCTCTTGTTTCCCACAGCCCAAAGCTCAAAAGCAAGTGCTTATCCGAATGGAGCCTTATATTATTGGACCTGTAGATAATGGTCTATTTTACAATGACCATAGAAAAACTAGAAATTTCAATATTCATGCAACAATTATGACAAAAACAACACCGCTATTGTTATGTAGAAAAAGAAAAAGAAAAAGGGAAAAACTTAGAACTCCCAATTTGATAATCAATGGAATACCGATATTTTTGCTCCTTCTATAAAGATGCCATTATATTATTATTATTATTAATGCAAACAATGTATCTTGGGCTGTAAACTAATCGGATTTAGATCTGATCCAATTGCATCTGCATCTGATTATCATGTTGAAATTTAGATCGGATTTGGATTTAATTAATAGTTATTTTATTGTATTTAAAATGACCAAAAAATTTAAAATTTTAAAAAAATAATTATTTTTAATTTATATATGTATAATAAATGTATATAAATATTATATTCACCTTATCAATTATAAATTTTATTTAATTATACATAATATCTATATATATGCATAATTATACTACATATGCACATAAAATAATGATTTTTTATCGGACTCAAATTTTAATTAAATTGGATGAGGTTAAATCTGCACCTAATCCCATTATTAATCAAATACAAGTTCTAACATCCAAATCTAGGACAACTGGATTTGGAACCAAAATAAGTATAAGACTTTAGGAAAAATGGGTTTTAACTTTTGAAACATGAACTGTGCTATAAACCTCTACAAAAAAAAAAAGAAGTAAAAGAGGTAAAAAGCACAAATGCTCATCTATGTTTTCAAATTTGGACCAAAAGGTCAACTAATTGCACCAGTAGTTGACCCAAACTAACTCAGTGGCAGGGGTGTTCACAGGTCGGGCTGGGTCGGTTCGAGTCATTTTCTTCAACCGACCTGATCTAATCGGTTTACTTATTGACTAAACTGGAACCAACCGACCAAACATGAAGGACAGTTTATTGGTTTAGTCAGTTTTGTTATATATTTTGAACTAAAATATCTATTTATATTTAAGTTTATTTCTTTTTAGTTTTTATGCAAAATCAAAATATATATTTAAATCAATTAATTTTTATGCAAAACTGATTTTTTTGTCAATATATATTTAAATTTATACAAACTGAATTAAATATTGTACCATTGTATTATATTGTATTGGTTTTACATTTTAGTTTTTATCATGAATAACCAATTTTTTTTTCAAAGTTTAAACAAAATGCAAATAAAATATATCAATATTTAATATATAGGGTAGGGACTAGTTAATAATTACTTAAACATATAGGATCGGTTCAGCATATAAAAACGAAACCAAACCGAATTATCAGTTTATTTTCTCATACAAACCGAAACCGGCCCATAGTTTTGAAAAACCAACCAACTTGGGTTTGGTCGGGCCATTTAGTCGGTTTGGCGTTTAATGTGAACACACCATCTTTTTATTTTGGTGTTAATGTATCACAAAATAGGAAGAAAATGTTTGAGTTGTTAGTTGTCAATGCCTCTGCTAAGTTCTGATATGATCCAATTGTATTATCTATACATATATAAACATCATCTTTTTATTATTTAAATTCTATGGAATCAAGTGATATTTGGGATTTGGATAGACTTACTCTTTTCTATTTATAATATTATATATTTAATTTTTTAATTGTGTGCTAATTTTGTATGGTTTTAATGATATTCTTTTCGTATCAAACTCGAATATAAATCTCTAAGATGCTCATCTATTTAGATTTGGTTGTTATCCCATCCAAAATCAATTTGATCCATTTGCAGTTCCATCTCTCTCCCCCTCTTTTTTTTCCCCTCTTTATGCACTTTTGTCTTCACTTTTTTATTCCTTTTGTGTCCTCCTCTTTTATCTCCTTTCTTGGTCTTCTTTTCACTTAGTTGTGAAATTGAGCTCTTTCTCTATTTGATTGCATATGCTACATTATTAGTTTGTTAAAAAGATCCATCCCCAAGTATCCCACTAATTCAAACCTTGTTCATCGAGAAATGGTATAAATACAAATCAATTGATATCTACGCTGCATAGCATTGAAATTTGCCTACGGACTTTCTCAAACTATATTTTTGCTCCATGGGGTTATACAACTGGAAGGGGGCAGTTTAGAGGTGCAACATAATGAACCTTGCTTTACATCGGGTTGGGTTTGGATTGGTCCAACTTCTCTACATTTTGCCAAATGCTCTTATTTTTTAGTCTTGAAATTCATTTATAGCATCATTATACGTAAAAATGACATAATTGTCATACTTTTGAAAAATTTTGTCTTTTAAGTTTAAAATTGTTGACATACATATACAAACATATGGAATACATATATATATGGATACATAATTGCTGTCACATGCATACATTCATATACATAAGAATTTATCTATACTATTTAAAGAATATATTTGCTTTAGTTTTGGTGTAAGTCATAAAGGTTAAATTTGATCACATAATATTAGTGTATATCATTATTCTAAACTTTCTTACGTACATAGCATGTGCTCTTACACGATATATATATATATACCTCGATAATATTTCTGAAATTTTTTGAGGACAAAATTTATCCTTCCATATTTAAATTTATTCGGAAAAAGAAGGCAAATAGGGTAATTGGTTATTGATATTAAATGACTTGAAAATAAGTAATTTTAATATATTAATGCTTTCAATCCCTTCTCATTAAATCCAACATTTAAGGTATTAACTTGCATTCACCTTCATTGAATCTTATATTTAGGGCATTTTTGTTTCTTCTCATCATTAAATTAAATCCATATATAATAAATTGATAATTTCAATAACACAAAAACTTATACTTTTAAAATATACCTTGAAAAAGTGTTTTCATCTAGGTGGTGGTAAGAAATTAAATCATTTTGGGTCAAATGGGACAATCCATGTTGTCAAAATTAAATAAAAAAATAGATAAAATACAAAAAAAATAGAAATTAAAAAATATAAACATTTTTAACATCATATCTTCTGCATACTAAACAAGAATAAGTATGATAAATAAGAAATAATTTTATTAATGATGTAAAATTAAAATTAATTGGAAATAAAATTATTTTCCTATTTTCACACATTAAATATCATATCTAAGGTATATTCTCTCATTAAATCCTATATTTCAGATATATTTTTCTCATCATTAAGTTCTATTAATTAAACCCATAACATTAATTTTAATAGTATAAAAATAAATATTTTAAAATGGGAATTTAAAAATAAAACCATTTTTCCCTCCCGGTGGTGGGTAAGCAATTCTACCATATGGAGTCAAATGGTAAATAATGTCATAATTAAATAATAAAATAAATTAAATATATAATACAAATAAAAATAAAAAGAATTGGGCATATCTCTAATATTGTATATTCATTATACTAAACAAAAAAAGTATGAAGTGTAAGGAGTATTCATATTAATGCTGAAAATGGAATGCCAAATTTAAAATTAATCTAGAAATTAAATGATGTCATAGTCAAATAATAATTTTTTTAAAATAAAAAATACAAATAATCACAAAAATAAAAAATAGAGAAACATTTTGGCACATATCTAATGTAATATATTTATAAAAAATAAAATATTGGGTACACGTCTAATATTATACATTCATTATATTGAACAAAAATAAGTATTATACATAAGAAATAATTTTATCAATGATGGAAATGTAATACAAAATAATTTTATACATAAGAAATAATTCTATCAAACTATTTTTCTTTTTGGGTGGTTGGTTAGTGGTTTGGGTCAAATGGATTAATCAATGATATGATAGATAAATAGTAAATCTTTAAAAAGTAAAAAAGTGCAAGTAATCAACATAATATATAAAAAATTATACATTAATTATGTCAAACAAAATATAAAGTTAAATCAATATAAACAAGATAACAAATGTTTATATAATATTTTTACATAGGGTTCGACTATGATATAGAAAAGATATGATATCTAAAAAGCTTATGACCAGTCAATTGGAATCATAAACATGGTAGCCAATCAGGTGTTATTTATCAAAATTCATGGGTGGGATTTGATTGGTCAAAACTCTTCCCATACCACATCATAGATTTTCCCTTTTACATATAAACATAAAGTTAAGTTGGTTCAAGTTAACTCTAACCCAATTTGAAGTTAAATCAGGTTCATACTTTTCAACTCTAACCTTAACCGAAATCAACTCAACCTTTTTGAGTTGTGTTTAGGCTAACTCAGCCCAAGTTGCAACTCTAACAAATGGGATCCAAATGAAACCAAAGTGGCTAATGATGCTAATGGGTTGGTTCACGTGGTAGATCCACATTGATCCAACCCTCCAACCCTATTGGGTTAGTGTCGGGACATAATCTATTTTGGGGGTAAGATTAGGTTCAAGGATTAAAGTATCAATATGTTGGATTCTATAGTTTTTAAGTATGATAAATTTGAACAATGGATATTGATACTTTTATTTTCAATAAATACCATTCAACAAACATCATTCTAGGCTCAGTTTGGAAGGAGTACAAATATAAATAAAACCTTGTATTTTGTATTTTAGGGTCATTTATTAAACCACCCCTATAGTTTTAGAGATTTACTTAAACCTACCCTATACTTTGCATTTTACTAAAACATCATTTATAGTTTGCAACCAAGTTACTTAATGACCTTTCATTAAGAACTATTTGTTTTGCCATATGAAAATAGTAACATGTTCACCTAAACTAAATGAAAAGTGTTTAAGGGCATGGAACCATGATTGTTTATTCCAAAAGTACCCATAAACTGAGTGCAAAATGTTCAAGGGTATGGATCCATAGTTGTTTATTCCAAATTACCTCTAACACTTTTTTTGTGTAGAAAACAAAATTGACCAAATAGAGAAAAATAGAGTGCTTGTCCCTGTTTTACTAGGGAAAAAAATTGTATTTTTGTTTGATTAAATTTATTTGAATGGATGCTAGTGTTAAACTATCATTTTCCACTTTCATCTAATAGAAGGCGGATTAAGTAAATTGATTGCAAACTATAGGGGATGTTTTAATAAGACAAACTATAGGGTAGGTTTTAGTAAATTTATGAAACTATAGGGGTGTTTTAGTAAATGACCCTTTATTTTATATGTATTTATACTTTACATATTTGTAGTTTGTATTCTTCCCAGAGGAAGAAGTATAAATACAAATATATAGAGTGCGAAACCTTATATTTTATATTATGTTGATCCGGATTGAAGTGACACTCAGTCAGATAGGGCTGTATTTTGTATGTATTTTCACTGTACGTATTTGTATTTATATGCCTTCCAAACTGAGCCTAATAGGTACAAGTAGGGGTGCAAATGGATCGAGATTAGATCATTTTTGGTCGAATTCCGATCTTTGGATCGGATCAGATGATAGGATCCGATCAGAAATTAGATCGGATTTGGATCACCCCTATCCAATCCAATATATATTATATATTTATAAATATAAATATATAATACATATATATATGTTATTTATTTATAAATATATTTTATAAAATTGTTATATTATTTATTTTTTTTATAAAAAACATGTATATATATGATGAAAATAATTTAAAAATACTTGTATTTTTTATTTTATTTTATTTAAATTAGTATATTTTATTTTCTTTTATTAATTTATTAAATTTTAAAGAAAACAAGTCAGATTGGATCAGATTCGAAAATATGCTTACAATAAGATTCAAATTCAAATCAAATCTATGATCGAATCCAACACTAACAATGTCGGATCGGATTTGATCCGTTTGCATCTCTAGGTACAAGTGTACCCAAGGGCACTTCACTTCATACCCGATTGAAGTGAAATCGGGTCGGGTAGGGCCAGACCAAAGCCGTACTGAATCCGACCCGTTGACATCCCTAGGCGCCGGAAGGGGACTTCACTTGCTACTTGCTAGCTGACCCACAACTCAAAACGCGAGAGCGAAACCCAACAAGCAGAAAAGGCGTAAAAGAGGAAAAAACCTCCCTCACTCTCTTTTTCAATTCCCCTTACTCTTTTCTCTCTGTCTAATCCAATATCTCTCACATCCATTTAATCCGGTCTGTATCGACCTCTCTCTCTTTCTGCAAATCAGGGGCGTTTAACGACCAGCGTATTTGAAACCCTAGCCTCTTGGAACTCCTTTCTGCTCCATTTGGACACTGAAATGGAAGAGGAAACCCTTGGCCACTCTATACAGAAATCAAAGCGAGCTTGACGCCATTTGAACTGAGATTCGACAAGATAAGGAGGGGTTCTGGTTTCCTGGTTCTTGAACTGAGATTCGATTGTACCTTGTTCGATCTGTGAATGGATTCGCGAGATTCATCGTCGTCGGCTGCGGCTGCAAGTAGAGATGGCTCCCCGGCGGATGAAGATGGCCTTCTATCCGTCACGGCCGGGCTCGCTAAGGAAGCTGCTTTGTTGTTTCAATCGCGGAGGTTTACGGAATGCATCGATGTGTTGAAACAACTGCTGCAGAAGAAGGAAGACGATCCAAAGGTGAGGTTCCGGAAGTTCTAATCTTTTTCCGTTCGTTTGCGTCAATTTGATGAAATAGCGACCTCAGAAGCTTATTTCGTCCTTTTCTTTTGTTTTCATTTGAGAAATTTAGTCGACTTTTTTGAAACTTTTCGGTTGATACAGGCGGAGTCGCTTTCTGATCCTCCCGTTTGCTTTTGGAGTATGCATTCATTGTCGTTGTAGAATGTTACATATTTAATTTATGCTATTCAAAGAAAGAAATGAATTCATATTTTTGAATTTTGTTTTTTTTTTTTTTTGTTTTTTGTTTTTTGCTTTTGGCGTTCATTAGTATTCAGCTCTGCTTGATAAGATTGGTTATTTTTCAATTGAAAAAAACTGATGTCTGTATTAAGCTTGGCTAGAGGAACGTCATCCAACGCCTTCCAGTAAAATCTGTTACATTGTGGGCTCAAAAACTTGTGTATTTGTCAGGGGCGAGCTATAAGAAACTTTCCAATTGTTTAGTTCAATGTTTTCTGTTCTGTGTTACCTAGTTCCTAGGTGATCTAATTGGAAGTTATAGTTGAGGAAACTGGTGCGAAAGGAGGAAAGATAATTAATGTGATTACAAGTACGAAGAAGTTACCTGTTACCTTGTTATTCTTTTGATTGATAGAAGGAGCAGGCTTCATTTTTAAGGTGGTAGCTCAATAGAACCATGGTTACTAATTTGGCCTGAGAGGCTTCGACTTTGGGAGGTCTTTAAAATTTTAAAATTTTAGGACACAATCTGTCTATGATTGAGCGAGTAGATGTCCGATGCCACCAAGCCTCATTTAATTCAATTCTAGGATAGTACTTAATATGAATGTAAATTTAGCCATGATAATAAGATTTACAGAAGTAGTCAATTCCCAAATAATTAGAGAATTTAAAATTTTAAACCAAATTTAACCTAATATCCAGAATTTCTAAGACAACTTCCTTACTGGCATAAGGGTCATACTTATAGGTTTTTATTGTTTCTGCCCCTAACATAGTGAGGGATTTTCTTTTGTCTCCTCCCGTATATTGGGTCTCTCTGAGACCTTGCTTTTTAATTCTTTGTTTTACCAGCTTTTCAGTTATCAATAAAAAATTTGTTCACATTTCATTTTTTTCCTTCACTTCTCTCTCTCCCCCCTCACTCTGTTGCAATGTAAGAGAGTACAATTTTCATGCCAAATGAGTCAAGTATGAACCTAATGCCTAAAATGTCAATATTTCAAATTTAGCATCACTGAAAGATCCATGTAAGTTATAATCATTTAACTTCTTTTTTTTTTTAAAATTAAGATATGTATACATATACATTATGTATTTGTGTATCTATGTATATGACACACTGGAAAGGTTGAGCTTCAGTAAAATGGCAAGTGGAGTATATTTCCTAAAACCAACATATTTGATTAATTAAGAACTAATGATCGTGGAATTATATGGATCTGGTATTTTGAGGTTTCAAGGACTTGGATGACATTACTGTGATATATGTGTATGGGTATCCCATGTAGTATGTTTACAATAGTATTTATACTGTTGAGTTACTGCTCAACCCAGAAGCCACTTTGAGGAAATGTTTTGAGTAGTTTCTTATAGTTTTGCTCCATTTAAAATAGTATTTATACTGTAGGCTGAACTAGAGCAGGGTTCTTATGGGCACGAGTCTGATCCCGCTGTGGAACTGGCTGAGTTCTGTCAGACATGGATATGGGGAAAAGGGGTATGATCTATTTCCTAGGATCGTAGACATGATGCGAATATGGTTGTCCCATTTAATATGTTTATATCATGCTTTTATTTGTAGTTTTTGAATCTAAGAACCATTTCTCAGCACTAATATCTTGCCAAGTTTTATTAACTTCTAATATAAGCAAGCTTTTTTTAACAGTATGATTTGTTAAAGCATAGCAATTTTCATATTTTTAGAAGTGTTAATTTTTCAAAGTATACTCTAAAAGTGTCCGTCCAGTATCTGTTGTCATATTAGGTAAGTACGTATGTCTGATGTCAGTACGCTAGAGAGATGCCTTGTCTGGACATTGTTTCACTCGAGAAGCAATGTACAATGGACAGTAAAGTTGGGGTTGTGTGTGTCAAGGATTAAAATATTCAAACACCCAATACTCAAAGTTGGGTATTGGTGTGCATCGATATGATCTATAATCACTTTCTTTTATTTTTTTACTTTTTTTTTTATTTTACAATCATTAGGACCCTCCAACAGAGTATTTTAAAGTTTTAAATTTTTTAAAAATGTTTTTTGTATTAGTGTATCCATGCATATCTGGATGCACCGGTACAGTTATATCGATATTTTAATCCTTGTTTTTTGGGGGACTGATCTGCTAATTGGTTCTGGGGTGAACTAAGTCTCAGCTGTTGTGTATTTCTTTGCATTTTTCTTATTATTAATAAATAAAAAATCTCTGATCTGGTTACTGGTAAAAAGTCATTATTATACATTGGATTACAATTACATAGAGCTGACCCTATATAATTGGGATTCGATTTTTTGAATTAAGTTGAGGGTTGTGTAAACCACTGTTTTAAAGTGTGCAGCATGCAATTTTTTGATCGGTAATATTAGATTTACTTATTGATAAAAAATGTTAGATTTGACGAGTATGATGAAAAAGTGATCTACAGAATACAGATTACATGCCAACCATCCCTATCATTCTTCTGGCAGCAACTACCAGCTTATCTTTTTACCATTTACTTTGTTTACAACTGTCCCTCAAAAAACTGATCACTATTGACCCCCCCCCCCCTGCTTGGCAAGTGGCAAGCCCATCTGCCAATGTGCAGCATGCCTAATTTCAAAGGCAAGGCTTATTTTGTTGCATACATCTCACCTGAAGTCAAGTGCACCTCATCTAGCTTGTTGCTATATTTTGATTAGTTAACCTTAAATTTAATGCCGAATAGATAATTGATTATATTATAAGGTGTACCTATATTCCTATAATGTTTAGAGTTTAAGCAGTTTAACCTATGTAGGACTTGAACATTGCGAAGTACACCATTCATGTAATGTCATGATGCTGTAACCAATTGAGCTAATAGTTTTTTTGTATAATTTATTTTTTCTAGAATTTAGATTTGCATATTTTTGTATATTAGGTGTCTCTTTTTGAATTTTCCCCCAAAACGGTTGACTCACTTTGTCCAGCATGTGCCTTGCCTTGCGCCTTGTAACTGATGCTCTAGGAGCTTCTTGCACTTTAGTTGTGCATCTCACTTTTAAAATTGACACAAAAAATAACTATACTGGAGTTGAAAGATGACAAAAGCATGCAGTTACCGGGAAAGTAGTGGATCCTATCAGTCAATATCCAACTGGGTCTTAGAGTATGCTATTTGTAAGGCTAGCCCTACAATTTTCTCCATTAAGTGACGAAATGAGAGAAAGTAGACTAAGATGGTTTGCTCATGTGCATAGAAGACCACAAACAGCACCTGTAAGAGAAGTGATCTGTTCCAGATTGAAGGGGCTAAAAGGGATAGGGGTAAACCAAAAAGGGTTGGGTTGAAGTAGTTAGAAATGACTTAAGTGCCCATAATTTAACAATTGATATGGTATTAAATAGAATGGAATGGTGAAACAGGATTCATGTATCTGACCCTATATGGTTGCGATAAGGCTTGGATGATGATGATGATTACTTTTAAGAAAAGAGGAAGGGAAAAATATAAAAGCTTTTCATCCCTAAAGAAACAAAGGAAGAGCAAAGGATGCCAAATGCCCATAAAGCAAAAGGAGATACACCATACATGAAATGATGAAAAGACACAAAAATACACTATTTGTTTAGAGATTACTATCTCCTTGAGGCTGTCTTTAGCATTTTGGGACCTAATTGTAGCAGTACTTGCGATCTTTTTTTTTTTTTTTTTAAATGCAGTACTTGTGATCTTAAAATATGTAATAGAATTAACAGATTATGTATTTGGTAGTATTGGTTCCATTATGGTATTTTCTGATTTATGATTATATTACAGTATTAATTTTGTAGTTTGTAACCATTAAAGGCTTAATATAGAATGAAATCACCTGATTCATATGATGTTCAAAAGGCTAAGCTCTTATGAGAGATCTCAAAGGCCAAGTGTTATGCTCTTTACTTTCATTTGTAAAATTTTTATCAAAATATATGTATATGTTGCAGGTTCTTCATAATATTGCTGTTGCAGAGTACTTTCAGGAAGGTTGTTTTGATCCAAGGAAGTTACTTGAAGTTCTCAATAAGGTTAAGGTATGTGAAAAGATGTAGTCATTGGTATTATTTTTTTTCTCCAACAATACCTTTTCTTTTTATTCTCCTTGTTGGAAAATTTTCAACATCTCACACAAACATTTTCTTCATAGGAACAAGGTCCAGCTTTTGCTGATAGAATCCATCCTTTTTTTTGTATTATTATTTTTTTTTTGGGTACAACATCCTTTTTTTTTTCCTATCCTGAAATATCATGAGGCTCTGTTTCTGCAAATCTCTATTGAAGAGTTTCAGATCCAATAGTATCTCAACTTTGATAATGAGTTTGGTGTAATATGTTCGTTTTTTCTAATAATTGATTTTTAAATAATGCCCACAATTACATTAGTCCTTGTTCCTTATCAAGACATATTTTTGTATGCGTGTGTGACATGCCACATTTTTTGACCCCTTGATTTAACTGTTTGGTTGTTTAGAGTAACTAGTATCAAGTGCTACTAGACTGTAGCATTTTTCGTTAATGTCCATAGTCCATTCATGGGAAACTGTTTTGCATGACATTCTGTTTGTAATATGTCCATTATTTCTATTCCCTCCTCCTATTTGAACTATTGTTCTTTGCATTCCCTTTGTCTTTTTCACTATCACTTGACATTCCCTTTGTTAAATTTGTCCTGTTACATCTATCAAGTATTGATCATAGAATGTTGTCGCATTGGACATATTTTTGACTTTTGACTATATTAGTGCAAAATTTTCAATTATACTATAAATATTTCAGATTTGATATCTAAACAAATGTCTTTTGCACATTATATTATAACTTATGGACATATAAGCATGTAAAATCCATTTTTTTGATAGGCAACCGAAGCATTTTATTAAATTTACAAACAAAATGTACAAGAATTACCCCCTTATAATTCATCAAAAAAAAGAATTACCCCCTTATATTGTACAAATTTACAAAGAAGCCTTGAGAGCATACCCTATGCTATCTCACTCTGATTAAATTACATTACAACTGAGATTCCTATTTACCCCTTGTCTAGCAAGTGAATCACCCTAATTATTAGCAGATTTTTGGACCCATATAACCCCTATATGCATATTTCTTGTTATCCATTTGAATTTTTTAGTCTTATTTCTGTAGTTCCATGGAACCCTCCTCTGCAGCCAACTTATTGCAGTCTTTGAATCTTCTTCAATTAATAACCTTTCCGACTGCCTTCTCTACTCCAAACATTGCAGCCAAGATTTCAACTCTTGTTGGATCCCTTACATCAATTGGACCCAAGTACATAGCAATGGTATTGCCTTCTTCATCCCTAAATGATCGTCCTATTCCAGATGATCTAGGATTCCCAAGGCTGATCCATCAAAATTCAGCTTTATAACGCCCACTGAGCTTTGTCGATTTATATTTTACACTTGACAAAAAGGATTATGGACTATTCTTACTTTCAATGTTTTGAAAATTGTAATTGCATTGTAAATAATATAGAAAGTTGACTTGAATTTAATTGTGAATGATATTGTAAGTTAAAATTACTTTTATTTATTTCAACCCTCCTCCACCCCCCCAAAAAAATGATCATCCATGACCATAGGAGTTTGGCAAAAGTTTTCAATGCTAGCTTGCAATTTGGCGCAACCCTCCTCTTTTATTCTGGCTTGGGACTAGCATTATAAGACAAGCTCACACCGGCAGTGTTAATAAAAAAAATTAAAACTAGTGTCTAGAAGCACTTTACATTAGAAGCCTAAGATGTAATCAAGTTCAACTTGGAAGTCAAGTAGTCAACTACAATGGCTCTTTAACCTAGAGATGATGGAAAATCAATTAGGAATTAGCCCTCCACTTTGATATTTCTTTAATTCTTCTCATTTTTTAAGAGACTTTTTTTTTTTGGAAAAAGGTAAGATGGCTTTTATTAATGGAACAAACAAAATACATCAGACTCCCAAGGAAAAAGACTTTTGCCGGGCACAAGCAAAAACAAACAGCAAATTTGCAACTTCCACAGATTTCTGGTCTCAGCGAAGCCACCAGATTATGCTACTGAAGACCTTTAGCTGCAGAAATCCAGGACACTGGCTTTCCAAAGGAAAAGGAAATTAACTCCACTTTCTTAGATGTCTGCTGAAAGATACTTCTGTTCCTTACAGCCCAGATAGTACTAATCACAGCAGCCGGAACAGAATTCCAAACACAGCATGCAAACTTAGAAAGCCCTTGAACATCCCATCCCACAGAATGTCCAAAGTATTACTAGGCATGACCCAATTCATCCCCAGAGCTGAAAGATAACGCCACCACAGTTGGGAGGCAAAGGAACAATGGAGGAAAAGATGACTTGAATCCTCTGAACTCTGCCCACAAAAAATACAACTCTGTTCTGGGATCTGCATCCCCTCCTGAGCAAACTTTGGTTAAGTACCTGTCCAGAGCAGCAGCCCACACTAAAGCATTGATTTTTGAAGGGGAGGTGGAATTCCAAATTTTGGATGATGGAACTGAAAAACCCATCTGCAATCCAATTCCAGATCCAACTGCCCTCTCTGCTAGCATCCATCACCTGAGCTGACAGAAGCCCAAGCAACTCAGCAAAATTCCCAATCTCCCAATCCTGAAATCTCCTTTGAAAAGTTGGAATCCAAAGAATAACATTCCCAATAGACTCGTAGTAATCTGCAACCGCTGCATCTTGATCATTGGCTAATTGAAACAGTTGCAGGAAAATTTTAGAGGACAGGTGCAGGAAAATTTTTCAAGAGACACTTGTTATAAAGCCCTTACTAGAAAAGGGCTTTGTTTTGGGCTTGTTTGTAAGGCTGGGTTATCTTGACAGATCACCATCCTCTCTTTGGGTGGTGGCAGTTGCAAATTCTTAATTTAATTGAATGAAAGTTACTGTATCAGTGATTGTTCAAAAAAAAAGTTACTTTATCGGTGTATCCTATAAAAAATTGGGTTGATTTAAATTGGATGAATGGTATAAATGATAAATCTTAATTTGATTTTTAATAATAGGATTCAAATGATAATTGATTAATTGTATGATTTTGCAGAAAAGGATGTAGAATAAGATTTAAATGAAAACCTTTGTGATTCATGATTTGAATCGAGTCACAAGATTTTGAACCATACTTACCTTTCATTTGATTTCTTTAATGATGGTTCAGAAGAGGAGTGAAGAGCTTGTCCGTGCATCTGGCGAACAGATAGACACTCTTAGCAGTCTTGGAAATAATGTCAGTTCAGGATCAAAAGGAAGTGTTACGTCACCACATCAGTTCTCTTCTGCAAATAGTACCAGTATTGCCTATGCAGATGAATTTGACACTTCTGTTGCAACACTGAACATTGTATGTTTTGTTGATATATGCATACTTTTAGCATTTGGAAGTAATTTTATATTTGATTTGTTTTCAAGGATATTTTCAGATGGTTTGTTGCTTCATTGGTTTTACTCTATTGATGAATACAGGCGGTCATCTTGTTCCATCTTCATGAATATGCAAATGCATTATCGGTTCTAGAATCACTGTATCAAAATATAGAGCCCATAGATGAGGTATTGTATATTTTTTTACAATATGTGATTGATCTGAGGATTGTTCTATCCTCCTAATTGTTTTCCTGCATGCAGACAACAGCTCTTCACATATGCCTTTTGTTATTGGATGTTGCACTGGCTTCCAATGATGCATCAAAAGCTGCAGTAAGTTCAAACATGAATGGCATGAATATTTCTAAATAATCATTATATACTGTTAAGGGTTCACTATATGAGATCCAATGGCATGAATGTTTCTAAACAATCATTATATACTGTTAAGGATTCACTATTATGAGATCCTTCAAGGATTCCAAGTTTATTCCAAAATGGCTGATAATTGTAATAGCAGCTATGAAGCACGTCCAAGGTTTGGATATTTTGTTGGAGAGAGATAACTAGTTAATGCTCAATATTTGAAAGGTGACTTTAACCTTTTCCAAATGCTAATGCCAGATCAACGTCTGATCTATACTTAGGGCATATATGTATTTCTATATACTTTTTGACTTCTCTTAGAGCTTATACTTGTTACATGTGATCTGATTAGTTGGTTGTTTTATTTTATTCTAAATTAGCTGAAACTTGAAAGTTATTTGTTTTCTTATTGCAACCTACACAAGTTAGCCCGATTAAGTAGACATTTCACTTGTTATAGCTTAAAGAAAATGATATAGGATCTTCATAATTTTTTTTGTTGCTAATTGCACAAGGTAATAGCATAGAAACTCTGTAAGAGCAGGGCTACTCTCACTTTTCCTAGGACTCAAATTCATTCTCTTGGATATAACAATGCAAAGTGGAGGGGGGCTTAACAGTTTATGATTGGTTGTGTCATTGTTAACTTATAGAGGCAAAACCTCTAACTCAGAAGATGATCTCCTTGCTCAAATGAGTTGGCAGATTGTAAATGCATTGGTAGATTCACTGGCTATGGCTAGGAATGAGTAAACAGGGCTGAATTTTATTGGGATGCTATCCCACCTGTACGGATTGTAGCATGTGAGAAACCAAGGGTGGCTGAGAAAGCTTTGGCTCAGATTTTCTCTCTTATGGGAGATATTTGTACCTCTGAGTTTTCATATTTCCATTCTCTAACAAAGCTTGATCACCTATTGATATAAAATGTTGTGGAAATTCAATTTGTTTCAAGTTAAATAAATAACACTTCCATAGAAGTGACACAATGCACCTTTACCACAGTTCCTAGTATAATAATAAAAGATACTTTTTCTTTGCAAATGCTAGACAGACTAGAGCTATATGGATGAATCTAAAGGAGGAATTTTTGAACTGGAACTTTGATGGCTCCTCTACCAAACCACCCCTACTATATTTGTGTACATCTTTTTTTGATGAATAATAGTAAGTTTATTGATTCAGAAGCAAATTAGAGTGAGTTCATACATCATCCCAGTGAGAGGCGTGAGCTGCAGCCCCTCCTTGAAACTTACAAGTAAACTAGGAAAGAAAAACAAGAATCA